ACACCAAAAAGCTTCACAGCAAGTGTCTGTCTGCAACCGCGATCTCACCTAGAGGAAGCCATGACGTGTCAGAGCAGGGAAGATGGCCGCGGGTCGTGTTCATCACCCGATGTGGAGTTCGCAAAAATTTTGCAAATGCTGCTGTTCGTGAACCGAATTGTTCGCGAACAGAAGCGTTCGTGAACCGAGGTATTACTATACATGCAAAAGATCAGCCTATTGTGGAACACAAAAATCAACCATATGCAGTTATATAGTTATAGCATCTGTCTTCTCCAGGGTTTAAATTCTAGATCCTTTTCTCCCACCTTTTTGAATTAATGGAAATGAGGCCATTCTCTTCCTAGCCTTGAGAATGGGAGGTACAGTTACATAATTAGGTCTCCTCTGAGAACCACTGAAGTTTTTACCACTAAGGTAAGGTTCTTACCTTAACAGCTTCAGCCCTAACAATAACCACTGCAGTTGCATTACTGTAATAATCTGAATTAGTGGTTAAAAAAAGGCCAGAATGTTATAAAAAATTATGGATGTTGTACCATTCAGAAAATTGGCATATCTTCATAGAGCTTGCTGAGTCAAAATGTGCTTCCATTTGACATGTCAGTGGTTTTGGCCATGTTCATGATACCTAATATACTGGAAATAGTTATATGTTCTTTTTTATTTATTGACCCTCTCAAAAGACTTTGGGTTGAGTTAAAAGCGATGCTTTATTTTTCAAAACTTTTTAATAGGGTCATTTTTCATAATATATTCTGATTGGTGACTTTCATGTCTTTAAAATTCATGCAAAATATAATTGATACACTTGGTTCGTTCAGCAAAATATACCATCAAATAACAAATTCTCCAAAATGTTCCTGTATATGTTACCTTTTAAAGAGTTAGCTATGTGTATACTGATGCAATTGTAAACATTTTACTGTACAAAAGATTAAATTCAACTTAACACAGTGGGATTTACAATGAAATCCCATTTTAGCAGACTTATTTGAGGGTATCCATTATTCCCAAAAGCCTTTGAATCAAGTAAGTCATTGGGATGATGCAATTTACATCATTTGCAAGATGATACCCAATTTACACAGTTTGCAATGGAGTTTACTGCATTGTGTCCAAAGCCCATTCAAAGTGTGGAAAATTAAGGTTTCACTACTTGCAAGTAAATAAGCAAATGATTGTGGCTTTTTAAAATCATTTTTGATATTATAAACCAATAAATTTTCCACTCTGAGATACTATGAGGTATCCTACCTGACTTACTATCACAATTTTGGGATTAATGTTCATCCAATCATTTTTAATTTTTTTCTTGCTTTGGGCTTCATATTTGCACATGACATTTGCTCAATCATCTTATTTTCCATAATGAAAAATCAAAAATTAATCTCTTACATCATTTTTATCTTAATCCACTTGTATTATATTGAAATAAAGTAACCAAGTATACACTAGGATCTTTGTTATTATTATTGCTATAATAAAGTACAGAAAAGACAAGAACCTTACAACAGAATACAAAAGAGTAAGTATGATAAAGAGGGAAAATGAAGTGTTCTGCAATTAATAAAGGTGTTGTGCTTTGAGTTTGGAATAAAGCAGTCCTATCTGAAGTTTTGTGTCAGAATGTTGAAACAGCCCTTCCATTCTAAGAACAAAACAACCCTTGAAACATCTGAAGGTCAACTCGGGAACAGCTGTGGTCCCTTGTTTTTCACTCCCGAGCCTCAATAATAGGCATGGTGGTTCATGTTGAATACTAACTAGAACTCAAATTGTAAAAATTGGCGCAAGCAGGAAACTTTTTAAACATTTTTAAAAACAAAAAAGTCCCCACAGTACAATGGAAATACAGTTTTCTCCTCAGTTGAAAAATCTATTTAGATAAGCATCAGTTAGCAACACCCCCACACACACACAAAAGGAGAGGTGTTTTCAATTTCTTTAAATCTGTAGTTTACTCAGCCAATAGATGGTACGAAGCAGTTCAATAATCCAATATTCCATTCAATATCTAAATTGTTTTCTTAAAGTTTCGATTTTTTTTTTAAAAAAATTCTTAGCTGATTTTCTGACTACCCTTAGGGTAGTTTCTGTAGGACTAATTTTTTCTTCCCTGATATTTTTACCTGGCCCTAAGGGTGGCTGGTGGCTAGCGGGGGGAAAGGAATGGTCTGGTGTTGCTTTTTAACTACATGAGTAACGTTAAGAGATGTGAAGTGCCCATGCATTCTGGCTAGGCTGGAACAAGGCTGAAAAATAGCTCAATCAAAAACTCCAAACCTTAACCCAACTGCCGTGCTCGGAAAAGTTGGAAGACTCAAACTGATACTGCTTGAAACAGGCAACGTCATTTCACATTCAGAACAAAACCCTCAAATCTGTGTTTTGTTTCATACTTGGAACACTCAAAACCTATATAACAAGCTATATTTAATTTAAAATATGCTGCTGAATTGCTATCTTGAAGTGACTGGAATAGTGAATTGCTAAAACCAAATAACAGCAAAAAGCATATATAAGATTGGCCTTTCAGGAAATCAAAGATCATGGTTCATATAATAAAGCTATAGCTACACTAGTCATTTTGCAAGGCAAGAATCAGTATTATTATTGTTAAGTGCCACAATAGATTCACTGAAAAACTACAGTACTAACTACACAATTAGGAAATATGCTGTAATGAACATAATAGTGTAAAGATGTATTGGGCTGTGCTGTACAACATAGAGAACATTTCTCTCCAAAGGAACTATATTGTAGCATGTCATATCACAATAAGAATGCTATCAGAAGCAAATTAATTGGTTTAGAAAGACAGAATACTAGAATAAGGATAAAATGCACAACGATGATTTAGTGTTGGTGAATTTGCTTTTTGTTGGAGGGGTTGATTGCCAGGTTCTGTGCAAGAAAAAATAAAAAAGTTAATGCCTATTTGTAACAGTTGTGGTCTTTTGTTGGTATATATTCTACATCGTACAAAGTAACTAAGACAACCTTGTTTAAAGTCATTTATACTTTATACATACTGTATACAGAAGTATATAGAGTACAATATGCTAATTATTTTTGTTGTTCAGTCGTTAAGTCGTGTCCGACTCTTCGTGACCCCATGAACCATATTGCACCAGGCCTTCCT